GTAAAATGCATGTAAATTAAAAGAATAGTAATAAAAAATGTTGTAATCAATGAAAAGTATATGCTAGTATAATTTTCTAATTAGCAACAAAAGTATCCTGATTAGAAATTATAAATTATAAGAATAAAGTTACTGGATTGACTGATTTTAAAAGACTCTACACTATTGTTGTCAATGTCTGTAAAATTTGAGACATAACTGTATTATACCTATTTAATCTGAAAAACTCTGAAAATATGTCCATAGTCTGCGAGTCCGTCTCGATATCGAACTGATAATAATAATATTATGAAATTTTCATGTATGGAAATAATTTTAATGAAATTATACGTAAAATTGTAATATTTCTTGTATAATAACAAATGCTTCAAAAAACAAATAAACAATAACAAACGCCTCTAAAAAACTCCGGCGGAAAAATAAGGTAACAGGGTCAAGTCCATTTAACATTGAGGTAAATGGGTATCTCGCTAAATTTGCCATGATTTTGGTGACTAATTTTTATCGTCAAATTTGTCGAAATTTTGGTCCGGTATCTGTATAACTGTAATTCCTCTAATTGCTGTATGTAACTGTATCTGGCCTTATATGAAACTGTGACAGTATATGCCTTCTAGCAATAGCGACAAATCGAAAGTACTGGAAATTTCTCGGTGGCCGAGGGATAACTATTTAAGACTGAAGAGAACATCAGTTTTCAAATTTTAGTTTAGAGCTGACTTGATACGTCCGTGCCAGCTTCGCTCTTTTAATACGATTTGAACTGCGTTGTGTTTTACAGTCTTGGTAGTTTGAAATGTAACTACTGATTGCACTATGTGATTCTAAGAAGAGCTGTACGAGTATTTTTGTGAAAATATCGAGAACTGTAAAGAGGCCTTTTTTATTTTATTTATTTATTTTATGTTTTTTTTTAGAAAATAAGTTTTAGCAATCTGTAATCATTTCTGTGTGCACTTGATCATTTGATCCTTTACGAACCCGTGAACGTTTAACAATATTGAAGTTCACCAAGCTTGTAATGTTTCAGTAAATGCTGCTAATGTGAGCAGAATCAGAATTTAAACAATTATAAAATATATTCGCATACTAAAAGGCATTGAATGAATCGATAGAGTTTGATTAATTCTTGTTTATATAATTAGTGATGTACCAGTCGTATTAAAAAGTATCTATTTGATGTTTGTGATTTGCCTCCTAAACTAAGATGAACTCAAATTATTAGTACTACAGATTAGATGCAACTCACAAAAGCAAGCGCGATCTCTTAGCAAAAACATTAAAAATGCCAAAGTAGCACTCACATGTATTACAACTGGGCGGAAACTCAAGTAAACAGCACAGCTAGTAGCGTTGCCAAAACTCTTTTTCCCAAACTGCACGTTCGTTCGCTATTTAAAACCACTTAAAATTTATTTCTGGTGTACTTGACGGAAAAACGTAGGCATGCAGAACTGATTTAACATAAAAATAACGTGTTATTGGGAAAAACGAGCCTTACATATTCACTGGAAATGAAAAAAACAAAGGTAGCGATATACACATGGTATTCCGCAGGAAAAAATTTGGCATATTAAATAAAAACGTGGCTAGGCAATGCGGGATACTTGTATTTATGGAGCTTGTATACTATACAAAACATAAATATCACAAAATTATATGTATAAAGAGCTTTAAAGAAGAAATCTGCTTATTATCAATGTTGTGTAGAGTCGTCAGAACATTTTTAAAGCAGGAGAATGGGTAAAATGAACAATGAGCTGGGCCGGAATCGAACATCGGACCTCTCGAATACGCTCCGAGCGTGATGACCATTATACCACGAAGGCGTGCTAAGAAGACGAGAGAAATACCTTATATACACCCCCTTTTAAAGGGCGACAGGGGATGAGGGGGACCCAGTCGTCAAATCCAGGTGGGGAAGAATCATCATCCACCACCTTTCTTAGTTCGGGTGCCACTGTAGAGTTATTAGAATTTTTTGAAGCATGAGAATTTGAAAAATGAGCAGTGCCCTCGCCGGGACTCGAACCTCGGATCTCCCGAATACGCGACGAGCGTTCTAACCATTACACCAAGAAGGTGTGCTAAGAAAGCGGGAGAAATGCGTTATAGTTGTATTGTCTCTATTTAACTACTAATTATAAATATAAATATATTTTCTTATAGGATATATATATGCTAGAAATAAATGAATTTAATTTTATTATATACAACATTATAATTATTATATACTGCATTTAAAATTCTCTTATTTCACGAAATTGTGTCTTGTATGTATATATCAAATCTATAAAATTATCGTTTTTTTCATTTAACAAATGCTAAGTTTCAATCGAAATTCTAAAGGACAAATATTATTTAGTAGTTGAAAATTAGGTATTGCACACCACTTGTAGTAATAGTATTTCATAACATTTGTTATATATTTAAATTTTTATTATCTCATGTCTAATTATTGATTTTATACAGGCTGTGTCTAATTTATCGCATGTGCTTTTATTAATTGCATATGCAATAAAGAATTATGTAAATTTCCTATACTGAATGATGTGTGTTTCCTGAAATTCAGCAGTTTAGTTTGCTGAAAATTGCTTGACATTTGCATTTAAAGACAGTGATTTACATTTTTTACCTGGCATAATAAATTTTGACGACTTTAATCGAATTGCTGCAACGAAATTTTCTCTGAATAAATAGCTTGAGCTTTTGCGAATGCACTTTCTTTCCTTAAATTAAATTCGAAATTATTCAAATTCGGATCACTGAAGAAGTAAATTAAATTAGGAAAAATCTATGAAATTCCTTTTCACTGTTTGCTGCATCCCGTTCTTAGTGTCACATCAAACATTTTTTTAATTCTTCTTATAGTTCCTTTGTCCAATCTACAAGTATGAAATTCCACTTGACGTGGAAACTGTAATGTAATTTCCCGGCAGAATGTTGAAAGCCTAAGAATCTTAAAGCATGTTACATATTATGTAAATAAACATCGTGGAGAAATACGAAGAAAGGATTTATGTAAATTGCTATAGATTAGATGCGACTGAAAATCTGAAGTGTCCCAACTGCATTACGTATTCTTTTCTTGAAATGGCATTTGTTATTTTAATCACAAACCAAAAAACTTAATGGAGTTTGACTTGTTTGAAATCCACCTTGAATAACAATTGAGCATTTTATCTAAATTTTCTTTTCATATTAAGGCGCTGTCGGATCGAGAAATAGAATTAAATTATGTTGCGACTATTTTTCAGTGCATTGGCATAGAAAAAAATGTATTTATACTTAATTTAAATTATTTCCTTTATTTTGTCCTACGTTTGCTGTTATATAATATTTCTTGCAGTTTGCAACAAAATAAATATGTACATGAAATTCGCAAAAGTACCTGCATTGCAAAAGTATATAAATTCGCACGCTTATTTATGTGAATTATATGATTTAAGTTTAAAGTAATAAAAAGAATAATAACAAAACAAAAAAATCTATTCGAAACCAACTCATAAATGTCCATTGTTAATCAAATCATTGGACATTTCCATTATTTGTAAGAAACAAAATCATTATAAAGGAAGGACTTTTAAAAAGGAATATCATCAAAATAATATCACTTCGATGGCGTTAATCATGTAGATTCATCTTATCCAGGACTATTTCAAGCAAGGTACAGCTGTTCCTGATGTAAAAAATGAAAAAGAAGCATGCTAAGTGGAATATTTTAATCTATGTTAAGTGGTATAAAAATTAAGGAGCATAAAAAACTCTTCAAAATAAAAACAAATTAACACATTGTATAACTACTCAATAAAAACAGTAAAACGTGGATATATATGTGTGTGTGTAATAACTTGGAAAAGGTGGTGGCGTCGATTAGATGATTCAAGATAAAGAAACTCGTAGAGTTCAATTATTTCCTTTTTATTCAAGGTTGACACATATTTTTCATTAATCGAACAAAAATGAATTTGGTTATAGATGCATGCCACAGTCCTGGAAGCTTAGCACATCTTAACACGATGATAGAGAGAAGCGAGCGGCGACATGTTGAGACAAGCAAGCGGAAAAGTGGCACATGCAGAAGATAACGCGGGAGAAATGAAAAGGTTTTGGTTAAATTGAAATTTTTAATCTAATTGCTTAAAAGGAATCTGTACTGCAGCGCTGCATAAGGTCATACGATACAAATTAATTTTGAAATGACGCTGTTTATACTAATTAATTATAAATAATTACTATTTTTAGAACACAAAAGTAAGAATCGAAATTAAGATAAAGATTAAAAGGGATTATTGGCAATTAAAATTAGAATCTTGCTTTCATAATTTTATCTTACTCATGTATTTATGCATATAGTCAAGGTAAAAAAAAATTAAAGCAAACTTCTAGTTTAAACCGACAATGATCCATTTTACCCTTTACTTAAATTTGGATATTCCCCTTTCCATGCTTTACGTAATGATGATTACATAACTATATGTTTTACATGACAATGATTCCCTTACACCACTCCGATGGATTTATGGTACTGGGGTTATCTGAAATCTAAGGTGTTCAAATCAAATCCCCGAGATTCGTTAATATTAAAGAATGCCATTAAACGTGAAGTTATACAGATTCCTCCTGCGATATGTATGTTGGTCATTGTTATACTGATTCCTCCTGCGATATGTAACAATCTCCCGTATAATTTGTGTTGTCATTGATTCGTTACTGTGCTCTTTTTTGCAAATATTTAACGCGGGCAATTTACGTCAAGCCTGTATCGTTCCAACGTAATTTGTTGTTTTTCTATGCGCTCGTCAATTTGCGCGTTTGACCGATTTCAGTATTAAGTAAAATTAGTTTATGAAATAAATGCAATAATTTTGTTTGCTCAATTATCTTGATAATTTACGTTTACATCCAAGCCATTAAAAATGCATTTCTGATTTTAAAACAATTAAAAGTTTTCTTCTGACTCAGTATTGTCAGTTATTAATATTACATTTTCTTTTTAGGGTGACATAGAACAAATTACAATCACTGGTAGCCCTGACGCTGCTGAAAATCAGTGCAATGCAACAACGCAACCATTGGTAAGTAAGGATTTTTCGAATACATGGTTTTCCTTTATCATAAAAACCAAGTATGCATTTGAAAGATAATTTTTTCTGTTAAAAAGAACTAATAATAATCTTTCCATAGTTAATTTTATAATACTGAATTTTAACACGAGTTAAGTTGAACAGCGGTTATGCTGAAAGTTTTTGAAAGGAAGATAATTATGATGTCGAATAAATGTGAAGAGTTTTATAAAAGGATTATTAAGCTTTTTAATATAACCTAGACTAAAACATTTCGTTCAATGCACGCAACATGTTGCGAAAAATAGCACCTTTAGTTCACTTCGAAAGACTGAAAACGAATTTGATTAAGAAGGTATGTGTAATAATAAATTAACGAAGTGTCACTCTGGCACAATGATAGCGCCTGACTCCAAGGTAAATAAAGATTTTAGGCATAATTAGTCGTAAAATGTTTAATTAAAAAGTTTAATGAAAGGATACAGGTTTTCTTAGTTACAATGGTCCTTTACGTGTGTTGCTACTGAAAAATAAAGAATCTGTTTCGCAGATTGTTCACGTTTAGTTATGTCTCGCAAATATAAGAATATAACTTATAATACATAGAATGTTTACTCGTTAAAATTAATGCAAGTAGCGCCTACAGCTGAATTATGACGTCTTCGATAAAGAAGGTGAAATAACCGCAAAGTGAAATTCTCCCTTCTTTTTTAATTAAATGCTGAAATAAAACTAAAAAGAACATTATATTATAATTGTGACTTATTATAGCCATTTTCATAAAACAGCAATCTTATCAGCACCTGGAAATACTTTAGGAATTTTTTCAAAGAGTTAAATTAATTTTGAATACTTAATTCGTTACAGAAGTATCGTAACTTCTTTTATATGGACATGAGAATTATTATCCCTCTATGTACGCTGTGGAAATAAATTAACTTCTTGAGCTCTGTAGAGATCGCGACGTCAGAAATGAGCGGCCGTCAGTTATGAAAATTTCAAATAGTAGCCCTCGCTTTTTCGCATCACAATAACTCAAAGAAACATAAACGATACTGAATTGAACCTTGTAGCTTGTAGAACGCAAGCGCAAGAACAAAAAGGCGACATGCAACCGTGCATAATATCACTAGAAACTGTGAATTTGGAGAACTGTGCCCCCATAGCGCAGAATATCTTCAGAATGTCTTATTTAAGTCGCAGTATCCCGGGATATACTTAGGTTATCCTGAATATGTTGATTCTCAGATGTACTCAGGATACTGTAATTTAACATCCTGAGGATGTCTTGTTTAAGTCGCTATGTGCCGATATATATGAGGATGACCTAAAGATGTTGATTCTCAGACGTCCTGAGGACTTCCTCAATTTCACATCTTAAGGATATTCACAGTGCATTTTCAGGAGGACATCCGTTGTCAAACATTCTGACGATATTTGTTCTCCAATCTACCAGTTTTAGTTTTTTTGACACGGCGCATCTGAAAGCATTTATTTAATTTTCATGCCTATTTTGCGAAGAGTTTTTTCTAAATAAAAATATTGATATCCAGCTTATTGTGCGTCTTGCCGCGATGCATTTTCTCTTCTTATAGGAAACCAAAGAATCTGTGCTTTGCGTCTTCGCAAACAGTTATTTCTTAGCTTCTGCTTTTTTCGCAAAGATAGTAACACAATGGATATGCATTTTATAGGTTTTCTATGCAGCAATGTTGACGAATTACGTCGTTCCAGAGTTGCAATAGAAATATGTCCAGCCATTTTACCTTTACGTGGTCATTAATGTTCCCCAAAACGCACATCAATAATTTCTGGTCGTTGGAATATGTGAAATAATTGTAAATAAGGAATTCTAGATGCGTAATGATTTATAAGAAATCATTTAGCATGATGTTTTATAGATTCTAGCTTCAATATTACTTCAATGATATTCAATTGCTTCAATGATACCCCACATGCAATGCGGTATCACCTCTGACGGCCTGCTTTAGACATTTGTAATCCAAGTAAAAATGCTTTGTTTACCCACTGGACTTTCTAACCCTCGTTTGTCGTTCCTAGCTGAGATTTTTCGAGCTACAGAAGCTAAATTCAGTGAGATCGTTGCTGTTGACACCATTTTCGAACGCATAGCTTTGCGGCCCTTACGTTTTTAATTTCAGTTCGACTCGCTGAACCGTGCAATCACTAGAGATCGTGCACATGAAAAGCTAGTTACTGCTATGTGAAATATTTATTTTTTCCTTAAGTCGTTAGAAACCCTTCTAATGATCTGAAAATTAGAGAAGCAGACATTCAAGAAAATAATTCTACAAATCTAGGTAATACAAATTATACAAAGGCAGCACTTCATGAGCAGATCTGCAAAGCTCAGTTAAAGACTTGAAAAGAACTTACAATTATTTTTTTATATTGATTTATAAATATTGCAAAATGCAATTTGTAAATTTTGATTCTTATGCAGGTTGATCCAAAAGCCCTCAACTCAAAATTTCAAAAATTGTGAAAATTTAATAATAAATATTATTGGGAATTTGTTTCAATGAATGACACCCCTGTACTATAATAATAGTATATCACTTGAAATTTCATTTGAGATTTAACCTGTTAGCTTTAAAATCAATTTGTCAGGCACAAGATGAAGATGAGTTTTTCCAAGTAGAAATAATTTTTCTGATTGAGCATTAATAAGAAAAATGTTGAAGCGTTTAAAGATACCTTCTCAAATGTTATTGAACTTGACAAGAAAACTATTTTCCGCTTGGCAACCGGATTTTGAGAAACCGGAAACGTGCAACATAAGAAACGGAATGACTGCTCATCTATTCTGATATTGGACAAAGTCGAGAATAAAATAATGCAGTAGTCAACAAAGAATAGGGCAAAACTGACATCTCAATCAAATTTATCATAGGGGTATACAAACCGTTTCTTATGGTGAATGTTTCCAGTTTCTCGAAATCAGTTTACAAAGAGAAAAATCATTATGTTAAGTACTAATGTTCATTCATAAAATTGCTTTCTGTAATTCATAAAATTATGTTAAAATTCATAAAAATATGTGTTGGTAGCACTCATCTCCCTCCTGAATCCAAAACACAGGTCGTCAAGATAACATCATAAAATGCAACTGAAATTTCAAGTGATATATGTATTATTTTTAAGATTACAGGGGTTTATCTATCGAAACTATTTGCCACCGATACTTATTTTGGAAGTTCCACAGTTTTTGAAAGTTTGATCTGGCCGGATATTTTTAATTTTAAGTTACGTTAATAATTTATAATATTTATTTAAATGATAGGTTTTTAACAACCAGTTAAAACTATTTAAAAAATCTTTATATATTTTTTCTTAAATATAGCATATTGCAAACTACCTATTCAAATACCCCTGATCTATGGGCTTTGTCCTTGGAATGTATTGAAATAATACTTATTTAAACTATTTGCCATTAAAATTCATTTTGAGGATTTTTTTTTAAAATTTTTGACATTTTTTGAAAGCCTGATGTGCGCGAATTTTGAATCTCTTTATTGTTTGAATTAGTTGAAGGATCTATTAAAGTTTTCTCAAGTGGTTGCAATTTCGACGAGTACCATAGCTTCCTACGAAATGACATTGATATGTTTCGCAAAGAGATACATGAAAGAGAATAAAAGTAGGCTTATCTAATTAATTCATTATTCACTGGCTTAAAACAAATAATAAACCTTTTTTCAGTGACGTTAAGTGTTTACCCCCAAATATCGGATTCGCGTTAAGCACGTATACTTATACTGATGAAGTGACTAATTGTTTATAAAAACAAAAGAATCAGCTTTTCCATGTATATGTTACTGTGAAAGACCGAAACCTGAAGAGTGTCGATATTCTTCGGCGAACGTCAACATTCACGTTGTCGCTTGGTTATGTCCGAAATACTTGTTAAATATTCTTATTTCTCATTTACACCGGAGCCGGTAAACAAATATCGACGTTGACCATGCACTGACGATGGATGTTGAATAAAATACTTTTGTTACTTGTTTAAATCATACTTTATTATTAAAACGTATTATGATACATTTCAATATAGGAGAAACCTTAAGTAACAGCAGATGTAAATAAACTGTTGAACATAAAACGAAAAAATTCTAAACGATAAAAGAAAATAACACCAATAATAAACTTAATTATGTGATCTTAATTATGACTGTGTTATACAATCTTATTCATTGCATCAATTTAAACTGTTAAGATACTTTGAATTGCACAAGGGGATTCCTTTGTTTTTACAACTGCATTTAGTTGTAGAACACTTCTTTCTTCTCGGCTTCTCGTTTCGACCTCCACCAGAGCATATCTGTGCTTATCGACATACACCCGTGATGTCCGAATGTATAAGAATATATCCAAATTTTGGGTCCTGCACTGGCATATTGGGTATATGTTGAAATTCACCGGAGAAATGTCGGAATTTTCCAATTTCGGTCTTTCACGGTAACATAGATACCACATTATAACGCAAAGCCCAAAAAGCTCCGAGCTAAAAAAAGGCCACTGGAATTTTTTCCAGTGCAATTCGACGCAAGTTTTTCAAAATTTAAAATAAATTTTTATTTTATTTTTAAACAAACAGTTTTAATGGATATGTCGCGCATATAATGATCTAAACAACCATCGCAGAGTTTTGTGCCATAAATCATCGAAAAGACTGAAAAGTAATCTTCAAACTGTAGTATATTCCGAAATTCTTTAATTTAAAAGTCCAATGTTTGAAAATTCTTCAGAAATCTTCGGTTTTTCTTCATTGTATATCTAATGTTTTGAAACTCCAGCATTAGAAAACTTTGTTCGAAAACAATGATTTCTTTTTTCGTTATTGTTACTATTATTATTATTATTATTATTATTATTATTATTATTATTATTATTATTACTATCATCATCATCACTGCACTAACATAAACCGTTTACATTTTGTATTTTCTGGAGGTAAATTTCTTTTCTTACCAAGTGAAAAACAGATATGTCATTATACAAAATCGATCAAAAAAGAATGCTCAATCGACTGCAGTTATGTAATAGTAAGCACTAGATAAATGAAACTTTATAGATAAAAGCATTTGTCCTTTGGATCTTTGGAAATGTCATTAAATATATGATTCATTTGCTTTACTGTAATGTAGCCGTGTTTGTTTCTGTTACAAAAATTCACGTCCATTCCATCGACTGCCTTTTGCTCTCAGGATCGAAATGAAACATTCAGGTTTCATCGCACGTGATGATTCCATGAGAACATTCTTTACAATCCCAAAAGAAACCTTGTAGAAGATCGTTGCATACTTTTTACCTGAATTGCATTACGCCTCTTGTAAAACCTTGTGTATTCTGGAACCCAGCCAAGGCAAATATTTCTGTATTCCAGTTGTATTCGTGTTAATACAAAACCTCTAGCCATGTCTGTGTACTCACTGAGCTATCTCGTGGTAATGCATTTACCATTTTGGATAAGTTCCTCCACGATTGATGCGTTTTAATCGATTGTGACGGTTGAAGTTTTACCTGATCATGACTAGTTCTCAGTATTGCATTCAGCTTCTCGAAACCTCTGAAGTCATCGACACTCGTTACTTCGATTCAGACCTGGTAAGCAGTTAACCTTTTGATTGTCATCAACGAGCTGATCTCGCATTCCAGTCACGCCCCGCAGCGGACGCATATGAACCCAGCTCGCATTACAAATTAACAGTTGACAGATATCGCACACATATTTGTAAAGAAAGTACTACTTAATCTCTCAAGTGCCAAATGGTTAAAGATTTTGGTGCCCCCACATATGTTTACGCCAGCATTTTCTCCACTCCCTCTTTCTCTTTCGAATTTGGTTTAGTTGCACTATCCATTCAAAGGTAAAACCGCAAATGAGAGAATTTTTAGTACCCCCTTTTTTTCAATACCTAAAAACCCTTTTCTGATATGCCTTTTCCTTGATTACCTAAGCATGTGCTTATATTGCTTAATGGTTAGTTCAGCCCTGCTTCGATTCATTTCTTTGTCTCAGTAAACTGGCAACACCTTACTTTGAATCGATATTGCTAAGTTAATACCCAGACTTATAGAGTAACTATGTCACTGTAAAATGGATGTCACGTTGATCACCCATGCTGGTTCAATTATAAAAACAAAACAAAAAAAAAAAAAAAAAAAAAAAAAAAAAAAAATTAGGAATAGGTTAGGTAGTAAAGGACAAATGATTCTGCATAAAAAAGTTCAATTTATCTAGTGCTTGCTATTAATTGAGCTACAACGAATTCTACGTTACGTTTTGAACGAAGAATTAATCTTTCGCATTGATCCACATAATGACTGCATTTAACGAAAATTTCTTCTTTCATTTAATTTGGTCATTTTGGTTATTAAAATAACAACAGCTAATTTTAATCAAATTACTGCAGTTAGATGCGGAATAATTTTTTTCTTTCCTGACTAGAGTACCCGAACAAGAACCTCTGCCTCCTTACATAGTGCACAGAATGACCTACCTGTTAGAGGTGACATCATCCATGATGCAGACATCATCATCGATGACGAAGACGTTCTCGAAGATTTGGGATCAGGACATAGAGGAATGATACCTGATGAAAACTACGAAGAAAAGAAAGATTCTCCCAAACTCTTGAAGCGTAGAAAAGAGGTTTCCTTTTACTTGTGGTTTTTGTAATTTACTATTTGTATTTTATATGACATTATCACTTTTATTAATTTAGAAGTTAAACAACAAAAAACAGCGTTATATTTTTAAATTTTCACGGGACTAGTTTTGATGGTTTTACCGAATAACCAGCCTCATCTGCCAAAGCGCAAATGAATAATATAAAATATAGTAACTAGATAAGATGCGAATGGCTGGAAAGGAGTTAAGCTACTGGCGCCATCTGTTGATGAAACGAGAACTAGAACGTAATATCCTTAAAATTTGAAGGCAAAGATGGATTGGAATTGGGGCCGTTAACTAGAACCGAAAGACTTTTTGAATGTGAAATGCCTCTAGAAAATATAGTTCACCAATGGAAGATGTTTTTTGAATAATTTTGGCTGCAGAAAAATTTAAATTGTGATTATTCGGACCAACCATGCTGGGCAACAAAAGACTTCTGCGTTTCCTTTTTTCTAACTCCTGCCTCATGTTCGTTAACGCGAAATTTTAAGGCTGTCTTAGTTTGACCAAAGTAAATTAAACCACACTGGCAAGGAAGCCTGTAAATATCCCAGGAATTCATATCCGGAAATGGGTCCTTGAGTATGGAGCTCGGAATTTTATTCATGGGAGAATAAACGACCCGAAAGTTAAATTTCTGTAAAATACGTGCAATTTTATAGTTAATTGATGGAAAGAAGGGAATGACAACAGAATTCTTTTTAGTCTCCTAAGACAAAGTGTGCCTTTTGGTGTGTTGAGATGAGAATTTTTTTAACTGCTTCATTAATAATGTCGGGTGAAAAGCACCTATCAATAGCTACTGCTTTTAAATAATTTAGTTCTTCATGAAGAGACAGTTTGGAAGAGCAAACTTGAAGATTTTGTTGCTTGACTTCTAAATTAATACTTGTTCGGCATGTTATTGTATATTAATTATTATCATTTTTGTTTAAGAGTTAATGTTTTGATGTTGCACCAGATAGTATGGTAGTTGGCAAGCCGAGAGTTAAGCTATTACCCTGCTTTCGAATACCAGAATGGATTTCAACCTTTGCATTTGAATATTGTCTCAGTGGCACAGCCACAGTTAAAATTTTTTATTCGAGTGTTTATAAATAGGAAGACTATAGAGGTTAGTGATTAAGAAAAAGGAGTAAAAGATGCTCTGATTCTTTCCAACTGGAGGTGCTCTCGCTCAAAATTCGAGCTGGGCATGAAATCATCCTAACGAAATAAATGAATTTTCAAATTATGTTAATGTTATATGGCATCGATTTTCATAATTTCAAAAACATATACAGTTGAACCTCGAGATACAAGTTTAATTCGTTTCAGCATTGAGCTCGTATAGCGAATTTCTCTTATTTAGAAACAAACTTGCGCATTGAAAATAATGGAAATCCAGTTAATCCGTACCGCACCCCCAAAAATATCAACATAATAATCAATTTTTCTAATAAATAACACTGGTAAATAATATAACCGTAGTTTATCTTTATGATAGCTTCCGACACTGACCTATTAAACTGCTTCTCGTTAATCCACACCAACAACAGCTTCTAGTGGGTTTGGACGGTGCTTGGAAGTAACGGTAACTCCTTCGGCTGCATCAAGTTCATTAATTTCTTTCTTTTTCTTCAAAATAGTGCAAATCATCGATGTCGAGAAAGGCTTTAAGTCTTCGCCAGTTCCATCACTCTTACATCATGCGTAGTTTCATCTATGATTTCATTCTTAATTTCAACGGCCATAGCTTTTTTATTTTTCTTAGCAGCAATGTCTGAGGCAGCAATCTTGTTGAAAGCATCGCGAAATAATTATTTTCACGTTAAATGTAACAAACAATTAACTCTCAAGCGCACAACACGTAGGTCAAAGACACTGATTGATCTGACGAATCAATAGGCACTGGGGCCTCACTGAAGTTTCCATGGTGTCGATAATATAGCCAAATCTTTCCATAGGGTTGGCTTGAGTCCCCGGTACTCTAGATGTAGTTGGGACCAGGTTAACTGTGGAGTTTTCCATTGTTCTAAACTGTTTCGGACGCCAGTTATAGAATCGGCGTGCTTTTTTTTGGAGGGGGAAGCATATAATGTGTACTCTACGTAGAAGTCGAAGTAGCGAATACTCGCTATGCCTTGAAGATTAAATAATGTAGAAGGTTTTAAATAACCTTTTAATTGAAGTAAAATAAACAGATGCACGCACTTGGTACAATTCACCAATACTTTTGACTAACTAAATTTAACAGAAAATAAAGATGTAAATGTACATTAAGTGAAGATTGCTAACGACTGGCTCCTTAGCTTAACGAAACGCTAAATCGGCTCCACACAGTAGAGCCGAACCTAGAAATATCAGTATAAACTGAAAGGTGTCTAACACCGACTAGAGAGCTAATTGCAAACACGTAGCATAAATTCAGAACTATCTCCATTACCCTTTTTGAACTCTTGAAACGCAGTTTAAATACTGCTTCTGAAACACGTTTAGATTAGCATACTATGACATTTAAAAATTTACATTTGGCAGAGAACTGAAATCAGAAGGGAAAGGAAAGTAAAACTAAAAATAATTGCTTAGAATAGAATAATGTCTTTGCAATGCGTTTGATTATCAAAAATATAATAAACATAATATTCTACAAATAAATAAAATGGTTTTAAGGAAAATAAAAGATGAAAATAATGGTATAATTTTGCAAGAATTCTTTGAATTAAAATTGAAACATGTATGCCTATAAACCTGAAAATGTTAACCTAAGAAGTGAAAAGGTATAAATAAAATGTATCGTTAAAAACAAAATTTCATTTGAAGTTCATAAAGATTGTTTGTTTAATATAAGTGAACATTATGGAACCATGAATATCATTAGAAGTATAAATCATGACTTAGATTTGGTCCAAGTGAATAAAAAATTCATTATTACTAGATGATAAGTACTTTAGTTTAGAAGATGGAATTTACATGAGAGCATTAGGCCATTTTAAAATTTTTTCATTAATGGAAGAATTCAACAACTTGGGATCATAACACGGAAACTGTTAAACTGCGTGATTTATATCCAAGGAAATATAATCTGCTATCTTCGAAACAAGTTCTGTCAAAATGTGGAGATTTGACAACAGCTAAGTTAGCAGTAGATGAAAAGTTCTTATCTTAAAAAGTATCATGCTAAACTCTCTGATGTACCATGGAAGATATAATAAATGGGAAGTGTATTTTTAATACAAAAGGTGAAATACATAATAACCTCCCTTAAAATATCCTAGCTCGATAATTTTAATCTCCAGCTTGGAAGTTTGAACCTGTAAATTAAAGTTGATTTGGAGAACTACAAAATTGCTAAATTATATATTTCTTTTTAATTCTTTGTTTAATATATACTTTCATATTAGAAAAATTAAATTACCTTTTTTTACCTTCAGGTTGACCTTCCGCGGGCATTTAATAACTACTTATAAAATACCCGAAAAATTAAATAATTATTGAGTATAAAAGTAAGTTATTCAGAGTTTGAAGATACTTTTTTTCCATAAGAAGTCTCATCTTTCTTTAAAATCAGCATTACGGCAACCACTATCATAAAAGACCAAAATTACTGGAACCAGAAAATCGTTGGCGTCTGTTTGGGAGGTATCATTGTACCGTGTGCGCAACTGTATAAGCCCAATTAAAAGCACCGTTTGAAATAATGGGGTTCACCCCTCTCCCTTCCATTCGACGAAATTGTCGTGTTTCATATTGGCTTCAGAAATTTCTGGATATTATATTTTAACGCAGACAATGGCAGCATTATAAATATTAATTTGAATTTTCTGCTTCATTAAAGATCAGAAAATAGAGTTCAATTGGTGATTCTGAAATCAATTCAGTATTATTTATTAAACTATAATTATCGTATTCATGCATTGCTAAAAGTTTAGACCGAAACGTATTCAAAGAGAAAATGATTCTACTGTGCCCACATTTTTTTGTGATTATTCATGTAACTGATTCAATTTTACAATTCTTTCTAAGATAACTAAAAAGAACAAAATTCACTTCTTGGTATTAGGAATATTCAGCCATCGTTTTAGCAGAAAGCCGTATTTCTGACATTGCAGTTAAATTAGGTGCTAAGAAGCATTTATGGGTAGGATACCATATGACTAAGTTTAATAAAAATTCGATAGACTTTCTGTTCTTAAGCGATAAGAGCAAATTGCACATTTCTTCTTTAAGCAAGCGAACCTCTGGCCTTCTTTCAGTTGGTGGTGAAATAGAAGCTTTTCGTGCTCATATAAAGAGCAAGAAGTGCAAGACAATGAAACTGTTTCCAAAATAGAAATACTTTTTTATTTCTTTTATTTAAATTGCAATAAGTTAGTTACTTTCTCTGGATTCCGCGATGAACTAGTGGTATGCCGTAACTAGTGGTAGAACTAGTGGTATTTAGAAACTTTAAAAAAATGCGAAAAGGAATAGGAACAATAAGGCCTGCTTTAAAAGTGTTAATTTAGTTCGTATTAAAATAAATAAATCAACAGGATTTAAAAAAATTCTGTTAATCATTTCAGTAGAGCATTTTTCATATCGTTAACCATTTTAAAATTGCACAACGTTTAACTTCTGTATGATGAATATATTATTTGATTTTTGTGTTCATCATGTATTAATGATACATCTTTTTTTATTATAATTTCACGTTATAATTGAAATTTAAGCTGCTTAGGTGAATTAAAAATAAATTGAAATCTTAAGGTCCAAAGGATATGATAAATAAGACTTAAAATTACGAAGTGGACAGCTAATTAGCGTGCTGATCCGAAGCAGTTTGATTGCTTATTTGCGCATTCGTCCCTTTTAGGAGACTTGCAATTTATTGCAAGTCTCCTAAAAGGAGTCTTAATTTATACTACATTATCGTAATAACTTTAGTTTGATTTTCAAGAAAAATGTAAGGAAAATATATTGATCCCTCTTAATTTCCATACAAGCATTTTTGCTTT